AGCCAAACTTTTCCAAAGTTAACTTATTTTAGAAATTCTTCCTTAACAATACCCGGCGGTGGGGTTGACACGGATTTACCCGCGCTGACTGTGATATTTTCTGTCCCCCTGCCTTTCAAACAGCTCTGTTTAGATAAAACACTGACTTCAGGAAGGTTAGAGATTCTTTGGGTGTACATGGTCTCAAATAAACTGAATTTCATCGAATATAGCGTTTATTGGAGAGCGCGGTTTATTTATGCACATTCGATTTTTAGTTCATCTCTACCAGCTGCGATGGAGCTCGCAGAGGAAAACTCAAAGCCACTGTCAGATGCCAAAGCCTCTGATACAGGAGCTCAGAGACCCACGTGGAGTGGGCAGCTGGACTTCATCCTGGCCACGGTGGGATACGCAGTGGGACTGGGAAACGTCTGGAGGTTTCCTTATCTGTGTTACAGCAGCGGCGGAGGTGAGGTTGCCAGATGGCGCGTACTGCTGTAATCAGTACTTAAACCAATAATAAACTGGTTTCTGGGTTAACTTTTTGCTCGGGCAACTGCAAAACAAGCAAAGGCAAGTTGAAACTAGTTGTCAGCTAGAAAATAAGCGTTATTTAATTGCTGGAAGGGAAAGACAATAATTGCAGGATGTTCTTTGTTGTTGGCTTGATAAGGATATGAGCCACATGAGTCATATTTTTTCTCTTGTCTCTCATAACCAGTTGCTGACCAAAGTTTACGTTTGCTGTTTGTCCAGGAATGGCTCCAATAAATTTCTGTAGATTTCTTGTTGTATTTAACCAAGACACGCAATGAGATGTTCAAAACTTATTAAATAAACTAAACAGACAAATAGAATTACTAGTTACAAAACAATGACCAATTCAAAGTGAGATAAATGGATCAATTGTAGAGAATGATAAACTTTGGAAATGCAGTCATGTAAACTAGGTTAGTGAGAAAACATTGATGAGAGGGAGTCAGAGAAAATCAGAAAGGTATCTTTACAACTTGTAAGTGACACAGTGGTGGAAAATTTTACTGTGAACAGAGCGAGACCTCTTCCAGCCAATTGCATTGGGGTATGTAATCCACTAAAGATTAAGTTTGTCAGAAGATGATTTGTCATCATTCATAATAAAGAAAAGTCCACATTATGAAGCTTTCTGAAAACTCAACATGTAAAGGCCAAACCATCATTACGCAATTTTTTTAAATATGGTTTTAAGCTGAATTCATTGCTTTTCAGATTTCAGGTAGAACTGGGTCTTAGCAGTCCACGGGTTATGTTTTTTTCTGCAAGTTCTTTTCACAGACAGTTAATTATATTGAGCACATTTTACTGTGTGAAAACCTGAAACTTTACAGGTGGTTTTACATACCACAAGGAAATGTGATCTATTTATCTTTAAAGATGATCTAGTAAATTATGATCTAACATTTTTACAGTGAGAAAATGTTCCACTGAAATCTTCTCAAACATTTTCCTGCAACTGTTTTCTAGAAATTAGCCCTATTTAGGAATTATTCAGATATTTAAACAGTCACCTTCCTAAAATAATAGTCATTCTTTTGGCCAAAATGATTTTTTTTGTGTGTCAAAAAAAGGTGGGGATTTTCAACAATCACTTTTGGCAAAAAAAAGAAAAAAAAAAACAGAAAAAAGGCCATTATTTTAGGAAGGTCACAATATTAATATTTTGCCACTTTTTGCTTCAGGTGCCTTCATTATCCCCTACATCGCCATGGTTTTCATTTGCGGCATTCCTCTGCTCTTTATGGAGTTTGCTGTTGGCCAGTATACTCGTTTAGGACCAGTGCATGCATTCGCCAAGATCTGCCCCCTCTTTAAAGGTAAGTGTCTCTCTCACTGACAGAGGCTGCTTGTTTTGATGGAGATAAACCTCTGATCAGATTCTCTGCATTCACACATGAAAATGAAGAAAACTTGGGTTTTGCATGTAAAAAGCATATAAATACTTGGTGGGATTGATTAAGTTAGACATTTGATACATATCTTCTTGGTTTACATTCAAATTTGTGCTCAGAACGTTAACCCTATAAGGTTTAAGTTAAGTTAGAATAAGTGGAAAACAAGTAATTCTATTCAAAAGCTGAAACATTCGTATTATATAGATTTTTTCCCCCCACAGAAACAGGCTCGAATTCATGCCAGCGTTCTTGATCGTGAGCAATCCCTGAATTTGAGTCGAGGTTATGGGCTAAATAATCTGCTAAAAATGATAGAAAAAGTTATCTATATTTCCAGTGAACATTGAAAAGGAGGCAAGATTTGAGTCACTGCTGAAATAAATTCGATAAGCAATGAGTCACCCAAGGCACATTCAAAGAAAATGTAAAACAAGATTGCTTGTACCCAGTCACTGCTCAGTTTATGCAGTCTGAAGCCTGGCCCACTCCAACTGGAACAACAATGGCTTATATATTAAATAATTTACAGCTTTTGCAGAACTTTGATCCCCTCTTGCTGTTCTATTCAACAACCACCAGAAAATAAGGTTTTCTTTAGACTACAGTAATAAGTAATGCTCCTGGTGAAGTGTGTAACCTCTTCAGCACACATTGCACGACTTCTGCTGAATCACGCCTTACTTTGCCATCTGTTCCTCCACAGGTGTAGGCCTGGCCACAGTCGTAATCTCCTTTGTCTTCTGCACATTCTACAATGTGCTCATGGGCTGGGCCTTTTTCTACTTGTTCAACTCATTCAGAGGAACTCTCCCCTGGTCGTCTTGCAACAACACGTGGAATGTCGTTGGAAACTGCTCCAGCGGTTTTTCTGGCAATGCCACCCACCTGCAGTCGTCAAGCCTGCAGTTCTTTGAGTGAGAAGCCTGCAGTTTTTCCCTGCTTCAGTTACATTTAATTTACAAGCACTTACTCAAATTATGTAATTTTAAGTTTTAAATAATTCACTCTTGTGTCACCTGCAAATGTCACATTCTTTATGTGCAAAGATCAGCCTCGTCTCTTATCGTTGCTCAGGAAGGAAGAGGAAGAGATCTAGATATAGAAATATTCATGTCTTTTTTTTCTTATTCCCCGCCAGTCACAAACTTTTAGAGAAGACCAGTGGGATTGAAGAAGCTGGTGGCCTACAGTGGGAAGTATTTGGCTGTCTTCTTCTCTCATGGATCATTGTTTATTTATGCATATTTAAAGGAGTCAAATCCACAGGCAAGGTTTGAATCATTATTGTTTTTCCACCCGACGTATACATGCGTAGTGCTGTGGAATTATATTTTCCTTCTTCTGTTAGTTTACGTCACTCTTTCATGCGTCAAATCATAAATCGCATTAATGATTAGCTGTGTCATGGTATTTTTGTTGATAAATACTTTCTGACCTAACTTGTTAAAATAATAATGTTTTTTTTTTTTTTCTGACTGTAAAATTACTGACAAAGCTGGTATCCACAAGGTTAGCCATGGAGGCTTCCACATTCAACAATGTTTTTTTTTCTTTTCTGTTCCACATAGGTGGTGTATTTCACTGCTGTCTTTCCATACTTTATCTTGTTCTCCCTCCTCATCAATAATATCCAGCTGCCCGGAGCAAAGGCAGGCATCCTTTATTTTATAACACCTGTTTGGAGCAAACTGTTTGAAGTCAAGGTGAGACTGAAGGCAACGAAGCAGCACCTAACAGAGATTGTTTGAATTTATAACCATATTTTGTGTGTAAGTCAGACGTGTAATACGTCTACGTTTCTTTTTGAGTGATTTGTTATTAGACTAATTCTGTTCAAAACTTAGCAAATGTCAGGATGTCAAAAGTAAAACAGGTAAACAACACAAATCTTTAAATGTTTACAATCTCCAGTCAAATTATCCAAAACCCCCTTTTTGGTGGTTTTTTTTTTGTTGTTGTTGTAAAATTAAACATTTTGAGCAGATTTGACTTGCAGTGGCTCCATTAAGAGCAATAATTATTAAATGTTGTTTAACCTCGGTGTCCTTCTTTTGAAAGATGACTCCATGAACACGAAGAAATAAAACAACGAAAAGTAAAGCTAAATCAAATAAAAACGTATAAATCTGGTTTTTGTTTTCTTCTGTCTGTGTCGCAGGTTTGGGTCAATGCAGCTGCCCAGGTGTTTAACTCTCTGGGAATAGCATTTGGCTGTATGATTTCAATGGCTAGCTACAACAAGTTCAACAACAACATCACAAGGTACAATGTGATTTTTGTTGTTGTTTTTACTATATTTAACAAATAAAAGCTTTGTTGTATGCATAATGTACCAACATGTTCAGTGGTTTTCTCTAACAAAGACTCATTTATACATAAAGACTTAAGTATATAAAAAAAACTAAGTTCTTTAGGTAATAGCACAGATATATTGGGTTTCTGAATGGTGCAGACAGCACACAGTAGCTACTTTTCAATATTAAGTGTTTTTCAATCGTATCTGTTTTAAAGGACGTTTCTTTGTTATTGGAAGTCATATTTTCTGAGTTCATTGTTGACAAAACAATAACATTCTTTACCAGCAGACAGCACATATGAAAAAGGTTGTATTGATAATCAGTTGTGACAGTCACATCATGTTTAAAACTCTTTCGGTGGACTGAAAAATGTAATTTGTTGTTTTGCAGGGATGTGTTAGTAGTGTCATTAGTCAATTCCTTCACCAGTATCCTGGCTGGCCTTGTAATCTTCTCAGCTATTGGCTACATGTCTTTTAAACACAATCTACCAGTGGATAACATAGCCACAGATGGTAAGAACTCATTCAAGAAGTGCACTGACTTTTTGGAAAACACTAAATAGCCCTTTAGAGTAAATGGTTTTATTTTGCTAAACATTTTGTAAAGATACAAGATGTTTCTCATTTCACTTGGAATATTTGTTGCTACCATTTGTTTCCCTTGGATCAAGTTGACACAAACTTTAAAAGGTGGTGAAGACCAGTACCTTTCTGACCTAAAATTATACTTTTACATAAAGAGATTTTTCATTTTAACTTTACCCTTACTCAGTAACATACAAACAGTTATTAATACTTTCTTTTGGGAGTTATATAAAATTTGAGGGGTTGTTGGTGTTTTCAGCTAGTTTAGGTGCAATAAAAAAACTGCATTGGAGAGATGCTTGTTTTCAAGTTAGGTTCAGACCTAACTCCAATTAAGAATCTGTGGAAAGACTTGATAAATGTTTTGCAGATGCTTCCCATCCAGCCAGTAAGAGGTTGAGCTATTTTATGAAAAAGAGCGGGCAACTATTCCATTCTCCAAATATGCAGAGCTTGTAGTGCCGGATCACACAAGACTTGCAGCTGTAAACGCATTTAAGGCTCGAGCGCCGACTTAAAGTGGATGAATACACACAATTTTGAGAACAAGATATATTTTTCCCTTTTACTGATAAGAAATAGGCTTTGTTGCTACGTCGCATAAGAAACATTGAAGTTTGCTTTTGTAACATGACAAAAAATGAGTGAATATTAAGTTAATTGCACAGTGGTCTTTTCCTTCTACTTTTTGACAAGACGGTAATATACAAAGTGACATTGTGGTTCAGCTGATAGAAGGCTATAGTTGTTTTTCTCTGTCTACAGTTCATTAAAACTTTGTTCTTAACCGTCTCAGGTCCTGGTTTGGTGTTTGTTGTGTATCCTGAAGTTCTCTCCACCATGCCCGGCTATCAGTTCTGGGCTCCACTGTTCTTCATCATGCTGCTGTGTCTTGGTCTCGACAGTCAGGTGAACATCTGCACCTCTTTACCCTTTAAAATCATAAGCCATAGAAATGTTATGGCTTATGTCTTTTATGGCCTTTTTTAATCATAGCTTTTAGAGTCGTCAGTAGTTTTATTTTGTCTATTTAAAACAATTTGGAAAGCATTCACACATGTGTATCTAACTTCTGTTTTATAATCCTACTCATGGCACACACAAATGGTAACCAGGTTGAATTTATTTAGTAGTGCTTTTCACTTGTGTTGATCATTTATGATACCTTGCATAACAAGCAACACTCTCTATAAACATTCATTCACAGTATTATAGTGATCCTGCACTTTTCCTCTTACATTCACACACTCAGAGGCTCAAAAGTAATGTTTGGTTCAGTGTCCTGTCCCCTAATTATTATCCTTGTTTTGTTCTTTTACATACAAGCGAATGGGTAAGCTAATGGGAAAAGAAACAGGCTATAAAACGGTCTGCAGGTCAGGGTTTCAAGATCTAGTTCAAGATCATCTTCATGCACTAACTGTTCATGGATGCAAAAAAACTGGATCGAAAATATTTCGCTTTTCTCAGACTTCTGTTTCATGCTACCATTGTTATGAAGGCACTTCAGAATCAAACCATTTTAACTGTAAAACAGCAGCATCCTAAAAGATGGCAGAAAACATTGGTGTTGGTTGACGCTTTTATGGACTGAAAATAGTGGAAGATCTCAGTTTTGATCCATCAAATGAATGGATTAGAAAATAAACTATTTTTTGTACTATTTGATGTGATTATCATTGGTCTTTCACCAATTACATTTTGCACCTCTGGCACTATTTTCATTGAGTTGTGGCACAAATAACCCATGTTTTCTGAAGACATCCATGTCATAACTGTCATAGCATTGTGTTACGTGCTCAGAGTGAGTAACAGGTGTTTGCTGCAGTTTGGCAACGTGGAGGTGGTCGTGACGTTCTTGAAGGACGAGTTTGGAGTCAAAATTCTTCGGTACCTGAAGAGAGAAGAGCATCTTGCTCTGGTCGTGTGTTTTGTGGGGCTTCTTTTGGGAATCCCTCATGTAACTCAGGTGAAAAAGTTCTTTATATTTTGCTAAGAGGATACATCTGAGGATGAGGAATGCTGACAACTCTTAAGCTTTACTGGCCTCTTTTTGCAGGGAGGCATTTACGTGTTCCAGCTGATGGACCACTGCACTGCTGTGGTTTCCCTCATATGCCTGGCTTTCTTTGAAGTAGTGGCTGTATGCTGGATCTTTGGTAAAGTTTTACATTTAGTTCAGCCTTTTACAACAAAATGCTATCTTGTTACGATGCCATTAAAGACTTTAGTGCAAAGTTTTTATTTTCATGGCAGCCAGATTTCATGCCAAAGGTTAGATGATATTTAAATGACTTTTCTCCTGTCACATTTACTCTGATTCTCATTTTACATGTTTTTCCTCATTCAGACTTATTCAACTAATGTGTAGTTTAACGGCTGGAGGTCCGCGTGTCCTTATGCATCAACTCTTAGTTTCTTTCTGCCAGGAGTCTCCCGTCTCTCCCTGATGGTCAAGAGGATGCGAGGCGAGTCTGCGAGCCTCTTCTTCCGCCTCTGCTGGCTGCTGCTCTGCCCCCTACTGATGCTGGTAAGTCCTGCTTTTGGATACAAATTCTTATGAAATTCAGTCCTCAGGACTGGCTTTGTTTTCCACACAGTGCATCCTGGCATCCAGCGTTGTTCAATACACGCCTCCTCACTATGGAGAGTACATGTACCCACTGTGGGCTGAGTTAGTGGGGTGGGTCGTCTCACTGGTCTCCATAGTGTGGATCCCACTTTGTGCTGTTCATGAAATCTACAACAGCAAGGGGTCACTTCTTCAGGTGAGCAAATAAAATATATTTTGAACCTCGTCATTTTTGATGGCTGCATTTTAATGTTCTTGTTAGATTCAGGCTGCTGTTGACTTATTAGTGGAAGATCATTTGGAAAAATCTACTTTATGTATGACTGTCTCTGAGAAGAGATATGAGTAATGCTTTATTATATACCTGACTATTTGTCCGAGGTAGTTCTCTAAAAGATGGTTTCTATTTCATCTTCTTTAACCCTCAGAGAATCAAAAAAGCCGTGGCTCCTACATTAGACCTGGATGCCACGAATCCTCAACCAGAAAAGCAGAAAACAGACAAACCAGTGTTGGAAAAACTGTTAAGATCATCGGTGTAGCCAGAGAGTGAAAACCAGTGTGTCTGTGGGATGCTTAGATGTATTAGTCTGTTTTTACAAGGTCATGTTTTTATGAAAGATATAACTTTAAACCAACTGTAAATTTTGAAGGTTTTTAATCTTTTTTCTGTAAAAATATTCGGTTTCATCCATCATCTGAAGGCTAAATAACAGCGATTTGTTTTCACTGTGATGTAAAAAGTAAAACTTATTCTATAAATGCTTTGTAAATGCAGGGATGTTATTCTCAGGGTATTTTTGACTGTTGTGCTTGGTGGGCTTTGTGCTGCATAATGAATCTGTGGAATTGGCAATTGATGCTTTTGTAAATCTGAAACACAGCAGCTGCTTCAGTAAAGACACATTCAGATCAAATGTGTCAACAATTGATAATAAACCAAAAGAATAAATTAAAGGATCAAATGTTTTAAAAACACAAGTTACATTCAGAATTTGTGGCTTTTTTCCGACAATAAGGGGAAAAACAAATGCTCACATAAACTTAACTTTAATCTCACCTCAGTTTGTTCTGTGAGTAAATACTTTCTGATGTCAAGACGCTCACTCAGTTACAGTCTATATGCTTCTACCATGAACCAGAGTAAAAAAAGGCTCTCTGTTGTCCCTACATGAAGTTATTCTTTACATTCATTTTGAAAGCATTTCAGGATTAAAAAAAAAGCCTCACTTTCTATTTCTGAAAACTTTACAAGGAAATAACTAGAATTTATAGGAATTAATTTTAAATTGTGGGCAATTTTAAGAAACTATATTGCATCAAAAATGTAAATATAAACATATTTTCTTAGCCATAAGCAGTGATCTACTCAAAATCATGTTAATTATGTAGGTAAATTTCAATTGATTTACATGTAAGTAGAACTTAGTTGAATTTTTTATGTTATATTTAACAAGTTTTAGTTTTAGTTATTTCATTGAACAACATAAACCAAAAAGCTAATTAAAACATTCTGAAAATAATTAAAATGATATTATCTGTACCTCGTTAACTTCATGTTAAACATAGGGAGATGTTTCATGAAAATCTAAATCCACAAAATAATTGTTTACAATGTGTCTGGGCTTATATTATGTTTCCATTGCTCATCAATACTTCCTTTTTTAAAAAAAAAAAAACCCTTATAAAAGACCCCCCTTCCCAATTACAGAAAAATAAATAAACCAATCAGCCCAGATTGACTGTTGAAGATTTTGTCTGATATCTAACAGGGAGGCGATTTACTTAAACATTTTATTTTGTTCAAAGTGGTGCTATACTTCTCCTAGCTACATTTAGTTTCAACTTAATCCTTGTTTTAAAGAGTGTAAAGTTAGAAAGACAATTCAATGTGCCTTTCATCTTCTCTTCAAGAGGGGAAAGTTTATGCGATCAAATCTGCTAGATTTGACTGAATGTTTTGACCGAAGTGTTGAAGTTACTGAGCACGTTTATGAGCATCTAAACATATTAAGTGATAAGAACGCGACTAGATTTCCTATTGTTGAAATGTAAATTATTATAACTCGAGCTTTGTGATTGTTTAACAGTCGTAGAGAAAATATAAATGATTTACTCTGTGTCTGTAAGGGGAAAAGTCAAAACTCAATGAATGGAAAAACTTTGGTCAACAACGAAGCTGTAATTTTTCAACTTTAGGAAGTACAAATAAAACTTTCATCCCGCTGGAGGTGTCTGGATCAAAACGTAGTGAACATATTCTTTGAGAAATGGATCTCATTACTCAAGAGAGAAGTGAACATTCGTCTCAATTACACTTCTTTTGATATCCAGTAATAAAATTACAAATGGTCTAGTTTTTATACTTTTTTTAAAATACAGTTTTTAAAAGAAAGATGTCTGCCTCATGTACATTTCTTTATCCTCACATGTCTTTCACTGGTTTTTAATATTTGATGTAATATCTGTTGCTATTGAATCTTAAACAGCTTCATTATTTCACCCTTTCATGGGAAGAAACTGCAGATCAGCAGCTCTTGGAGGATATAATACACATAAGCAACTATAGCTAAAAAGCAGGATTCAAAACAACACAAATATGAATGTTTTAATTGATGTTGACTAAAACATGCATGGTACAAGTCAGACTGTTCTTATGAGATTACTTCATTTTTATTTCACAGCCACCATTTCAATAAAGTAAACTGAAAACGCTGCACCTGAGAAGCCATTATGTATGTTGTCGTCTACTAAAAAAAATAAAACAGTGTCACAAAAAACCAACAAAAACAAAATTATTCCAAGTCAAGGTAAATAAATACAGTATTTATTTTCCTCTAATAAACAACTGTTTAGGGTTTTTTTTTTTTTTTTTGTCTTCCTAGTCCCAAGTTTTACCTCAACATGTTAGTGTTATCTTCCTTATTGCCACTGGGTGGCAGCATAGCAACATAAATTAAATCGAAGTAATGGCTTTTACCTCAACGGCGTCCATACTTTACCAGTAAAACCATTAAAATCGGTATGTTAGTCTTCACAGCGACGGTCCATCTCTGCTCTGATGCTTCAAACCAACCATTACATCTGTAAAGGATAGCTACCATATCTTATTAAAGACTTCACTTCAGTTCAATAGCAGTAAAAACCTTTATTATTCTAGTTTAAGCTCCTCATGATCGGCTGTGCTGATATATAGAAAGACATAACGACTGCAAAAGTATTTAAGATGAAAATAAAATGCATTAACAGATGACAAACTGTGCTGCCTGAGGGGAATATATGCAGGGTTAAAGTATGTGCAGGGCAAGCTTAATCACCCTGACTCGTCATCCGCACGTACTCTGATAATGTTGACTGTGAGATTGTGATCTTTTTCTATGGTTAACATGGTGAACTGTAGAGGGGAAAAAACACTTCAACCACAGGAGATCAGAGCTGAGTTAATTACTCCCTTGTCATAAAGTGCTGCTGTCGTGCCCTCAGCAGAACTGTACGTTAATCAATACTCCCTTCCTGCTTTCTCCATGACAGAACGTATCACAGGCATTAAATTAGCACTGGGAGGGCTGTGTGATCAATAGCTATAGACAGTGGAGCCCAAGGGGAAGTAAATTAATGACCAGACTAGGAGAGGAGGTTGGTTGTGATCCCAGAAGGGCAATGAAAGAGGAGATAGGCTGCTATCTATTTCATGTTGAGTGGTATGAAGCTATTTATCTCTGCAAGCCAGAGGGTGAAATTAGCAATCGAGCTTGTTTTTTGTGTTTTTTTCTCCAGTGTAGAAGTAACTCTTGTGGTGGTTCACGCAACATCCTCCAGCTGCTGCGGTCATCCATCTGCACCGGAGTAAAAAACACAGAGAAGTGGCTATGAAATGGAAATGCTTTATGAACGCTAAGCGACTTCGTTAGATGATCTTCGTGAGCGCGTTTCCTTTTGATATCATCTCAACTCGGCATCAGAAGCCTGGTGAATTTAGGGAAATCTTTCTTTTGACCTTTGAATTTGGGAATGTTGTAATTCTTTGGACAGATGAGTCTAATACTGAATTAATTGTAAACCAGAACAGATAACGTTTTTATTTTTTTTGTGTGCCAAAATCAGCAAACCTCATATCAGCTACAAGCCATGGATGTGGAAGTTTCAGGATTTTGGAAAGTTCGTTTTTGTTGTTTGCCTCCAATTTATTGCCTTTCCTGATATGTGGATGGCTGTTACATCAATGCAATTGAAGAACATTTACTAGGGTTTTCTGGGCTCAGGAGCTGCTCTGTTTCGTTTACTTGGTGCCACTTATCTAGGATATGGCAACGACATGCACAGAAGGCAACCACATTTCTTCTCTTGTTTCTTGGTGATGTTTCACCGCTCACCTATAAGACTTATTCAGCTCTAAAAAGCCCACAATCTAAAACTCAAGAGCAGAGACAAAATATCTTCAAGAAAAAAAAAAAGAAAATCTAGTTAGTGCCTTCTATTTTAAGCACTTAGAATCAGTTTTATTTATTTATTTATTTATTTATTTATAAACTGTGTGCTAATGAATTAGGTCATCTTTTTGCGTGCGAAAATTGAAGTATGAAGTCTTTTAAGGCATTGGATAGCAACAAAAATCAGAGTCCACTGTGATTTGTGGACGGCTTTTCGATCACGTTCTTTTGCCGTCTTCCTCTTCACTCCTTTTCTTTGCCAACTGCAGACCTGCATTGAAATCTCTTCCTCTCCACCTTTGTGGCACTCATTACAGATTTGCACTCTTTTGTGGTTTCTTTGATTTGCATTTAACTGCGTAACTCTCAAACAGGACTGATTCATCTGGTAAGCAGCTACGAAGTATGACTCACGAGTCAAATCAAGTAACCTAAAAAGCATAGAAAAACATTTTAGACAAAGCCTCAGCAGTTTTGCACCACCGAGTAGAACGATAATAAACACAGGCTCTAGTGAAATACACGGTGAGCGTAACACGCATCCTTTATTATCATATGAGAATTAGATGTTCAGTATGGCCGAGTAAGCATTTAAGATCATTCTCTCTGTCTTTCAAATGCAAATGAATAAATCTTGCAAAGAATTCATATGCAGATAGGAGCTTCAAGGTTTGAATACAACAGTGCACTTCACTGCACAGTTGCCTTTGTAATGATGATTTTTTTTTTAGAGCGTTTCGATTAAACTGTTTAGGATGTGCATGCATTACAAGTCTGCTGCTGAATCAAGCTCGACCCTTGCTGGTACCAGCCAGCATGCCTAGGTGGGCCCCATGTGGGGGAAAGGAGGGCTGATATATGGGTCCCATATGGGTTTGTCCGCGGGTTCCACGATGGTCCCACATGGGTTTGCCCATGTAGGGCCACAGCCCACATGGGCCCTACATGGGCACTAAATGGACACACCCATGTGGGCCACCACCATATAGGGCCCAAGTAGGAACCATGTGGGCTGTGACCCTACATGGGCAAACCCATGTGGGGCCATCGTGGAACCCGCGGACAAACCCATATGGGACCCATATGGCATGCCCTCCTTTTCCCCACATGGGGCCCACCTAGGCATGCTGGCAGGGTGGTGTTTAGGATATAGACATCACATTTTACTTGTATTGAGGTTTTTTATTTCACATTTCTCGTCTAAAACAACAGATATGCATTAAATAACACATAATATAATAATAATAATATCCCCCAGAATTCACTTCTTACTTGCAAAGAAGCTTCCTGAAACCTGCAGCAGGTAAGCTGAATGTCAATGCAAACTGTTTTAGTGCACATGGTCAT